AAAATAGTGATGGTGACAGTAGGTGTATCACTACGTATGATAGTGACAGTATGGAGTATCACTACTGTAGTGATAGTGACACTATGGTGTATCACTGCAGTAGTGATAGTGACAGTATGGTGTATCACTGCAGTAGTGATAGTGACAGTATGGAGTATCACTACAGTAGTGATAGTGACACTATGGTGTATCACTACAGTAGTGATAGTGACACTATGGTGTATCACTGCAGTAGTGATAGTGACAGTATGGTGTATCACTACAGTAGTGATAGTGACAGTATGGTGTATCACTACAGTTGTGGTAATGACAGTATGGTGTATCACTACAGTAGTGATGGTGACAGTGTGGTGTATCACTACAGTAGTGATGGTGACAGTATGGTGTATCACTACAGTAGTGGTAATGACAGTATGGTGTATCACTACAGTAGTGATGGTGACAGTACGGTGTATCACTACAGTAGTGATGGTGACAGTATTGTGTATCACTACAGTAGTGATGGTGACAGTATGGTGTATCACTACAGTAGTGATAGTGACAGTATGGTGTGTCACTACAGTAGTGATGGTGACTGTATGGTGTATCACTACAGTAGTGATGGTGACAGTATGGTGTATCACTACTGTAGTGATGGTGACAGTATGGTGTATCACTACAGTAGTGTTGGTGACAGTATGGTGTATCACTACAATAGTGATTGTGACAGTATGGTGTATCACTACAGTAGTGATGGTGACAGCATGGTGTAACACTACAGTAGTGATGGTGACAGTATGGAGTATCACTATAGTAGTGATGGTGAGAGTATGGTGTATCACTACAGTAGTGATATTGACAGTATGGTGTATCACTACAGTAGTGATGATGACAGTATGGTGTAACACTACAGTAGTGATGGTGACAGTATGGTGTATCACTACAGTAGTGATGATGACAGTATGGTGTATCACTACAGTAGTGATGGTGACAGTATGGTGTATCACTACAGTAGTGATGGTGACAGTATGGTGTATCACTACAGTAGTTGATGGTGACAGTATGGTGTATCACTACAGTAGTGATGGTGACAGTATGGTGTATCACTACAGTAGTGATGGTGACAGTATGGTGTATCACTACAGTAGTGATGATGACAGTATGGTGTATCACTACAGTAGTGATGGTGACAGTATGGTGTATCACTACAGTAGTGATGGTGACTGTTACGTTGGTTTGTCCTTCATTTCTTGGATGGTAAGGTTCTCACTACATGTTCTAGTGTGGGGTAGCTTTTACTTAATGGCCTTATTTGTCTAGGGGTAATACTTACATCATGGCTGATCATCTTGAGTGTCTCTGATACCCTTTCACCAGCCCTCTTCACAGGTTATGTAAACTACTACTATAAAAATATAACTGTATTCTCAATAGATATGTACAGAATATACAATCACAGCCTCCATTTTCAAAACAAAATCTACACACTCCATGCCTGTGCTCCACATGGTGTGTTGCAACAACTCTTGTCCTCCACTCTTCCTGACACAACTCTGGGCTAACCAGTGTTTTGACACACTTTAGTCACCCTGGGTATGGTGCCAAAACTTAAATTATAAAAACTCACCCCTGGAGCACACATGATGCCCCAAAAGATAGGAGAAGGACCCAGAGATCCTGCCAGGTTGAAGGTCAGCCACAGAGAGAGAAGAGAGAGGGGGAGAGGGAAAAAACCCTGGCTAAGCTCCTCCCCCCCAAAACAAAAACTGTTGCCAAGCAAAATTTCTCCAGTTCCACAATTTACCACACCTTAATTTTAAAAAAAAGAAATACAACTTTATAAACATTTTTTAAATTGTGTTTTATTTCTATAGTATAACTTTTATTGGGGAAAAATAGGTTTTGCCCAGCGCCTCTCAGTAAAGAGGTTGTCGTCCTTCTGACATTTAGAGCAACCCCCCATCAATTAAATTTAAAATTAGGTATTCTTATAGAAACGTTACTTAAAATACATGTTGGGTCCTTACCCCCAAAACACCCCCCCTCCAGCGAAGTCTCAAAAAGCTAGCCGTGTCCCTCAGGATACGGCTAGTAAAAAGTATATTGCTTAAGTCGAAGTGGGTAAACAAGATACTAGAAATGCTACTATTTCCAGACCTAATATCTTCACTTTCTTTTATTTACAAAGATTGCAGAATTTTTTATAGAAAAGCTTTTTAACCAACCCACATACTCAGGGGTGTAACTATTTACAATTTTAGTGATTTTTTAAACAATACCTTTAAAAGCAAAAATTGAAACCAATCCCCACTGTGAAAGCCCGCCCCACGGGCCTTGCCTCTGCTGCGGTAACCCAAAAGAAAAGGTATTCCAGGGGGATCTCCTGTCAGGGGGAGAGAGTAGACCCAAAACCCAGACAGTCAGGTGAAACCCGGGCGGAAACTTCAAAAACATGTCAAGGTGTCTCCATTTGGGTGGCCGAACCAAACGGGAGACTTTCAGTCAACACTCAGATCCTTAACATGGTAAAGGCATCAAGCCCATCTTCCGGGGCCCCCTCCCACAGATCCCCCAAAACTTAGAAGAGGAGGCTGCATAAAAACATGGGGGGGGTCCAGGGGCCCCAAAAAGGAAAACCCGTCGGGCCGTTTTGTATATAGACCCACACCAAGACACAACATCACTTTCCTTCCTGAACG